ATTGGATTCTTTTCTATTTATGAAGACAAGGATCTGAATAATGAGGAATTGTTACCCCAAATTATCTAGATTGTAATGGCTATGTGAAAAGCATTAGTTCAAGTTCTACCATATAGTTGGCTAGTAGCACACATATTTAGTATGCACAAAGACCCCAGTTTCACAGAACTAAAAAATTATGAATGCCAAACTTAAAAGATGTTGTGTGCATCCTAGACTGGGAACATGAGAGACCTGGGTCAAGAAAAACATTTTTTAACCAACAAAAAACAATTTAAGCTGTTACCATACTGGATAGACCTGCTTTGTAAAACACAAAAATTGATCAGAATTGGCCTCTGTCCAGTGTTTTATGCCTTTAAAGCACAAAGCCCAGATTACATCAAACATTTCACAAAAGAAAGGAACCAGCAAATGTGAGAAATACAAAAGGTTATAGGCATAGAAACACATTTCTAATAAAAAGGAGGTGCTTTCAAGCAAGAAATTTGTATGCTAAGTTAGTTTTTCCCTAAAGAATAGTTTCAAAATTAGAGATCAGGGCAAAACTAAAAAGTGAACATATATCACAAGAATCTAGTTGGTGAAAATTGGCTTTAAACAGGTATAAAGCCCATTCCTTTGACTGTGTTTGAACAGGGACTTAGTGTGTAGACCTGACTGCCCTTCAGTTCACAAACGTCCATGTCTCTGGGATTAAAGGTGTGTGCCTGGTGACTTTTTAAAGTTGCCTTCAGAACAGATTGTATGCGTTATCAAGATAATTCCTTGTAGTTTCTACTGAGTTTGTCATGTTTCTAGTTACTTTTAAACACTCAAGATTTATTTTAAAATCTGTTTTGTAAAATTTTTCTCTTCTTTGAGACCTGGTAACTGACCTGGGTGTTCAACAACCTTACTTAGAGATGAAAATCAGTAAGGACAAAGGGGCTTAGGTGACATGCAATATGCTGGCCCTTGCCCTCCAAGTAGTCCTTGCCATGACTCCAAGGTCAGTTATGTTCTAGGAGAATCTGAACAATGAGACAACTCCAGAAGTTATGGCTCCTGTAAGACATCTATCCTCTTGATTAGTAAGGCCATGGGGAACTAGACAAACTCTATGGTGTGTATTCTACAAAGGAAGGGGTCATTACAGACAGAAAGTCTTATTGTCACCAAGACCCTGATCCATACCGCTAGTTGACATAACTGGCGAAGGAAATCTAAAGAGCAAAAGAACTAAGCCCCTGAAAGGCCCCAAGCCCCTAAAAAGACTCCCAAGGAGCCTAAATGGACCATAATCAGATTAATTTCTAGCCACCTACATAGTCTTAACACCCAATAGGAGATATTTAAAATATTACAAAATAGGAGCTGGAGAGATGGCTCAGTGCTTAAGAACACTGGCTGCTCTTCAGGTGACCCGGGTTCAATTCCTAGTATCCACATGGCAGTTTACAATCATAGATTCAGCTTTACCATTTCCACGTGACCAACACCCATACAGCTATCTGGAGACAGAGGTCTCTTTACTGCTCTCAATACCTCATTTAAGCATGCCACAGGGATTTTGACCCCATGAGAAACCACCTGGCATCTAATTTGTGCGGCAAGACCCACCAAAAGGATCACTCTGTTATTCTGAGTGACAACCAAGCTTGTTTGATCAAAAGGCCACACAAGCAGCTCGACCTCCACTCCAGGCTGTGTGTACTCAATACTCTCCTTTGTCCTAATTCTGTCTCCCCAGGAAACTCACAGGGGTGGTGGTTGGAGAGCTCAGGGAACAAGCTGTTGCTCCCTGGATCCTTGACAAGTTTCATTCAACCACATATTTGGGGGTTCAAACACCCCAAATTCTCACTGAGCCTCTTTCATTGTCTTGGGAATTCTTCAGACTTTATGGTCCATTTCTAAAACTGGTTCCACCTGTGGTCAGTCCAATTCTGAAATATATATTCAATATATACAATCAATATATATAATCAATCCCTACTCCAAGGCTGAGGGAACACTGTAGAAGAGAGAATGAAAAGAATGTAAAACCCCTTCCCATTTTGCAGACTGTCCAGCATAGATTTAACTATGGTGAGGAAAGACTGACAAATTTGACTTCACTCATATCTCCATATAAGGGACTTAAATGTCTACTCCTAGTAGATACTTTAATCAGTGGATAGAGGCATTCTGCCACTAAAATGGACAGGGTTCCAAAGATAGTCACTGTCCTAATATTCATTTTAAGCTCCTTCTGTCCATACTGTTTTTTTTTTTTTTTTTTTTTTTGAGACAGGGTTTCTCTATGTAGCCTTGGCTGTCCTGAAACTCACTCTGCAGACCAGGCTGGCTTCAAACTCACAAAAATCCTCCTGCTTCTGCTCCCCAAATGCTGGGATTAAAGGTGTGTGCCACCACTGTAGAGAGCTGCGAAATGCCGCACCCTTAAGATGGTGCTGGCTTCCGCCTCTGCTAGCCCGATAGCAAGTGCTCTCTGTGATAAACAACTCCTTATTTGGTCAAGGCTGGATATCAGGCTTGCTTCCTCGTATGTGGACCTATCTGCTGTCGCCACATGGCTTACCAGGGTTGGCCGCCCAAGGGCCTTTTTAAGCTGTGGGCGGGCACTCCCTGGGGTCAGAAGATTTGTTCAAGGTCCTGAATAAACTGCTTGTGAGAAGGATTCCTGAGTCGCGTCTTCCTTGCTGGTCGAGGTGGTCGTGACACACCACCACCCAGCTCAGTCCATATAGTTTTTTTTTTTACATCCTGGCTGTCATTTTGAGTATCACTAACCAAGTGTGTAAAGCTCTCAAAATGATCTCCACATGGTCTGACACTCTCAGTCATTCATGAGGGCTAACCAGTGGCCCTCGGCCTTCCTAACGCTACAGCCCTTTAACACAGTTCCTCATGTTAGTGACTACCAACCCTAATATTGCTCCGTAGCTACTTCCTAACTGTAATTTTGCTACCATTACAATTCATGACATAAATATATGCAGGAAGCCTGATAGGCGACCCCCAATGGGGTCACAACCACAGGCTGAGTACTGCTGGGCTAAGTGCCTGCTTACTCATTGCCCTGATTCAAGACTCAACATTGCTGGCCTGCCTACTTCCCAATTGAACTTGCAAGATCTTTTGCCAGCTTTGAGTGCCCAGACCTAAATGGGACATCTGTTATCAAGCCCCCCTTCCGAGGTTCAGGGAGCATCATGAAACAGGGTGGAAGAAAGAGCTGAAGGGTGGGAAGGAATGCTGAGAGATGTTGTCTTGTGGGCGAAGCTCACTCATGCATTCACTGTGGCTATGGTTAGCTGCATGAGATAGACAGTCAAAATTCCAGCATGCCTAGGAGAAGGCCCTAGTGATACCTTGACAGGCATTGGCAGGGAGATATTTGGAGGGAAGGTGGCCAGTAGGTTGACCATGATCCAGTTGGATGACCCCAAACCTATGCACATACAGGCAGCACTAGCTAGATGGGGCTTGTTGAGGGGGAGAATGAGGGGTAGATATGATCAAAATACATTGTATACATGTTTGAAATTCTCAAAGAATAAGTAAAAAGGGGTGGGAGATGGCTCAGTGGATAAAGGCACTTGCTGTCAAAGCTGACAGCCTGAGTTTGATCCCCAAGATTTACATAGCGTAAGTATAGAACTGACTCACAGACACATATAGACACATACACACACACACACATACACATACACACTCACTCATAAAATCATCCATGCAGATATTACATGGTCTAACTGGTATTGATGTGTTGTGTGCCTTTTCCTAAGCAGATGTAAACAAATGTCTGTCACCCCAGAAGGTACCAATGGCAGACTATAGAAAGAATTCCACTCATGTCAAGATTGGTGAGTCAGTGAATATCAGATGGGAACAGTTTCCCGAGCCTAGAATTTTCTTAACTTTGTGTGGAGATTTATACACCAGAGGATCTATGATGTCATGCTTCAGGAGCCATCCACCTTTTTTTTGAGACTCTCACTGGGGTTTGGAGTTTACCTACCATTTAGGCTAGGCAGGCTGGCTGGCTGATTGGCCAGTAAACCCCAGGGATCCACCTTATCAGCCCCGCCCTACTCCACAGGCCCCTGATCCTACTCCAGCAGATCATTAATCTCTAGTTAATCTACATTACCCTCCTCACTTTCCCTTAGTCTTCAAACTATCACTGGTCACCTCCTGAGAAAAAGGCCCAGAAGATAAGAGAAACATGAAAATTATTTTTAAAAGTTTGGTTCAGAAAGCCAAGCTTTTGTACACACTAATCTGAGCCAAGAGCTGGGGTGAGAATAAGGATTTCTTTGACACTCCTGCTAAAAGACTGTTCCATCACCTTTCCTCCAAAGGAGCTGCTAGTTAGAAAGCTTCCTCTGGAGAAAAGATGGCTTCCTGGCATCTGATTTCCTACTCCTAGAGTGTTGGGATCTAAGTCTCTCAAAAGACAAACATACCTATGATTCCTATGCCAAGCCCACCTTCTAAGACATAATGCTTACTTCTGAATAATTTTGCCCTTCTTTTTATCTGTGCACCATTAATGATCAATGGCTGCTTAATCAAGACCATTATTAGATTCCCTCCTGGGAACCAGTTTTGCAAGACAAACATATCCTGTCTTTAAAAAGCCTGGTCTATTAAGATCCTATGATGAAATCATTACTTTTGCATACTAACCTAAAACATAAAAAGCAAAAAACAACAACAAAAACCCCAACCCACTTCACAGGAATACAGCATCCTAAACAGAGCTGCAAAGATTTACACTACTATAAAAAGAAAGGGAAAGAATCATTTTTGCAGACCCTTCATCACCCCGGTCACCATTCATTTCAGCCTCACCCTGCTAGCAAAGAACAGTCCAACCCAGGATTCCACCAGCCCAACACCTTGCTCCAACCAATCTATTGCTACCTCTGTTAGAACCTACGCAGGGAAAGAGTACTTTGTCTGAAATGTATCAACACAAATGCCCTCAATGAAGACGCATGCATACCATGTTTCCTGGGAGATATTTATTATAACCTTTCAAGCATTTTCAACAGGGAAAGACATAATTCCTAATTTTTTTTAGGATCTGTTTGTTTCTGAGGAATCATGGAACCTTTCACCCAGAAACACGTCTCTACAGCTTTATGCACCTTTTGACAGCCGGAAGTCTCAGTCTCTGGAAAGGTAGACTGTAAGCACACCCATCCAATCTGTAAAACACTGGGCTCACCTGCAGATTCTACCTTATGACTTCTATGTTTCTTGCTCCCTTTTTTTTTCTGAGGTCACCTTATATGCCAATGAGCACCCCTGCCAAACTTCTCAGAGGGGTATTTATTGTAAGTGGCAAAACTAGACAGCCTGGGACTTCCCAGCCAAGGTCTTTAAAAAAGATGCAACCTAAAATCAGTCTTGTTGGCCTTCAACTGCTCTCCCAGGAGAGCTAGCCCTTCTTCTTCCATCCCAAGGGCCTCAGGAGCCTGAACTCTCCTCTAAATGTCACAAAATAAGGAGGAATTAAAGTCACACGTAGTCCCCAAACTGTTGGAACACTAGCATCGGCACAGCGTCCAAGCCCCACCAATAAAGTGGGTGCACCTGAAAGCGGCCCCGAGCAGGGCAGATCTAACTACTCCAGTTCTTCTTCTGGAGACTGAACTTCTTAGTTTTAAGCTAGCTCTCCACTCTCCACCTCCCTTAAAGTAAGCTCACTTTCTCTTTGCCAGCTCCGGATAAGACAACTTTCTGCCAAAGTGGAGCAAAAAGAAAGCCTGCTGTTTCTAACCGGTGTGAGTTCTCTGATGACTTGTAAGGCGTGAGCTCCGAGAGAAACTTTCTCCACATTCAGAACACTTATATGGTCTTTCTCCTGTATGGGTTCTCAGGTGACGAATCCGGTTGGAACTATGAGAGAAACTGTCTCCACACTCATGACAGGTGTAGGGTTTTTCTCCAGTGTGAATTCTCTGGTGCCTGATTAAGTTAGATCTATGGGAGAAGTTTTCCCCACAAAGGGTACACTTGTATGGTTTTTCTCCTGTGTGTGTTCTCTGATGTCTGGTAAGGTGCATGCCCTGCCGGAAACTTTTTCCACAAGTCGAACATTCAAAGAGTTTCTTCTCTACTCTGTGGGCTCCGTGGTTTATAAGAAAGGAGGCACTGTCATTAATTCCTTGCCCACACTCAGGGAGAGGGTCAAGTCTCTCTTTCTCATGGGTTCTTTCATGAATGACAAGATGTGAACTTCGAGAGAAACTTTTTCCACACTCACTACACCGATAGGGCCTCTCCCCAGTGTGGATCCTCTGGTGCCGAAGCAGGTTGGAGCTGTGAGCAAAGATTTCCCCACACTCAGGGCACTTGTAGGGCTTCTCCCCAGTGTGTGTCCTCTGGTGTCTGTGGAGGTTGGAGTTGCAGGAGAAGCTTTTTCCACAAACATTGCACTGATAGGGCTTTTCACCTGTGTGGGTGCGCTGATGGCGGGTGAGGTGGGTGTTCTGGCTGAAGCATTTCCCACATTCAAGGCACTTATGGGCTTCCTCGCCCATGTGTGCTCTGTGCAGCGACAGAAAATGTGGGTGCCCACCAAAGACTTCTCCACACTCTACATCCATACACAGCTTTTCTGCTGCATGTATTCTCTGGTGCCTAATTAGGTTTGAGTTATTAGAAAAGTTCTTGCCACACAAGGGACACAAATGGAGTTTCTTGGGCTGTTCCTTTGGTTGTACCGGTCCTCCACAATTTGTGGTTCCCACTAAGGACTCCGCTATCTTGTCCTCTGGGGGACATTGCCAATGCTCTTCTTCTCTGTCATCAGGTCTTCCCTGCTCGGGGCTCCAGGGCACCTCCCTTCTGGCCTGGCCAGGCAGCAGTACCGGAGGATGGGCACTCTCAGGAGAAACAGACTCAACACTTCTTTCTGGGTTCTCAAACTTTTCTACCCCTAGAAAAAGAGTGAAAGCAAACCATTAGATTATTTCACAGTGGAAAAAAGAAATCTCTACATGCTTTTCATGTAGGAGGCCCTGGAACATAGTTCTAGGTCAGTTTCCCAGCCTGTCCTCGTCAGGAAAGCACGCCAGAGCAGCCTGTGGAGACGAGACTCAAAGACTGGGAACTCAGGCTAATCTCAAAACTCCCTTTTGTAGGCCCCACCCTGCTTTCCGAATAGCTTTTACTCTTCTGGTAAGGATCAAGGCTGAGACTAGAGTATACTGAGTCAGTCTGAGATTTAGAACCTCAAATTTATAGCACACATCCCTCACTTGCCTTGCTGGGTATGCAGGAGACAAAGCAGTTGTCCCCAGTGTGCTGCTGGCTGTGCACTCGGATCCCCAAATGTCACACACACCTTGGGAGCCCTCCTGAGCCTTGTCTATCTTCACGTCTCACCTGGAACTGGGTCTCCGGGACTCCTGCCTCCCTTGCAGCTCTGCACACTAGGGTCCCATGGCTTCCCTCCTTGTTCCGCCTGGGTGCTTAAGACCTCCTGACCAGGAATGCAAGACTCTGTTCACAATGAGAGAAACATCATCACATCTTCTACCATGCAGAGAAAACAAGTCTTATTTCCTGCCAGTAGCAGAGAAACAAACTCACCCAAAGCCTGATATATATTACCCAGGAAATACACCAAACCATTCCCAGTAGTTACTCTATAGAAAACAGAAATTAAGAGAAGACTACGGTTTCTTTTGTAAAGTATTTTCAAAGAACTTGAATTTTTAATGAGAATATACAATTTGCAATTCAAGTAACTATAAAATAAACATAAGATGACCACTTCTTTGAGAATCAAAGTTGGCTACTTAACTAAACTTAAGCTAAACTTGACTGTAAAACTCTAGAACATAAAATCCATTGGGAAAGAACCCAGGCTCTTTGAAGACCATGAGATTAAAATTTGTAACTCCTCCTGTGCTGTGCTAAAAAGAAAAGCAAATAGCTCACTCTGCCTCCAGCAAAACAGACTTAGACAGGCGCTCATTTCCAACAACAAACCAATCTCTTGTCAGAGTTGGCATAGCAATGGAAAGCGATGCAAAGCCAGGAGGGGGCTCGCGATGAAGAGGGCAAAAGCACAACAGTGCTGCACAAGCAGCCAAGTGAGCTCTCAGTTCTGGCTTCACACAAACACGGTGGATGGAAACAGCTGCAATGTGTATCTTCCTGGTGTGGGCTTCAGTATAATCAGTCATACTCTACACAGCCCGTTAGATTGTCCCCAACTTCTTTTTCTTTTTGCTTTGTAGAGACAGGGTTTCTTTCTATAGCCCCGGCTATATAGCTCCAGACTCACTCTGTAGTCCAAGCTGGTCTTAAATTCACAGAGATCCACCTGCTTCTGCCACCACTGTGCTGGGATTAAAGGTGTGTGTCACCACTGCCTGGTGCCTCCAATTTTTTATTATGAGAATTTTGATATATAAAGAAAAGTTGAGGAACTATGTAATAATTCAGCTACCAGTTTGTCTCATTTTATTGGCATTATTTTTAACCTTTGAACAATTATTCAATACAGATGCACTTTAATGTATTGTCTAGCTTACTTTGTGAATACACAGTGCTCCAAATTTACAAGTTCCCCTTCCCTTCCTGGATTTTTACAGGCTAAGAGAGCTAATAAACTGGTATATTGATGCCAGCACCCCTCGCTTTCCTGTCTTTGGTAAAACGTCTAGAAAAACCAAAGGAGCACAGAGGGCATAAGAATGCAAATAAGAATGTAGAGCATTGAGCATGTGTGTCGTGGGCCTGGGGTCACTGGATGTGCTGCGTGCTGCCCTTGGATGTTCTCTATAGCTCAGACTCTGCCTTAAACTCCAGGAACGAAAATACAGTCTAAGGAGGCCATTAAGTCTATCAACTGTGCCACTTGACGTTTAACCCACCATAGTAGGAGGAACTTTAGAGCAAAGGGAGTGTGGGTGTCGGGGTGTCTCTTGTCCAGAAGGAAAGTGTGTTCCAAGGAGAAGGGCACTCTGGTCATAAATGCCATCATCCCAGAAAGAGAAGTTCTTACCTAGTGAGCCCATGTTCTCATAACTCTCTTGCACCATATCCCTTGAGAGAGCTCTCTTACTAGGATCCTGATGGCCCCATTCCTGAGAGATGTACATTGTCACGTCCTCGAAGTTCTCAGGCAACTGAAATAACACAAGATCTCCTTTAGCATCACATGTAACAAGAACAATTCAAGCAGAGTTATGGTTAAAGGAGGAAAACCAGGAATGCCAAGAACACACATCACAGGGGAAAATACAATGAAGCTAAGGGAGATATCTGATTAGAAAGAAAAAGATCCTCCTGGTAGCAGAGGGTACCTCCCAGCCCAAAAGGAGAGGAAAAAAGGTGGATTCTGGGGAGAGGCAATGAGAACTTCCACATCACCTGGGACCCAGTCATATCCTTATCTTCCATATTCCCCTCAGGAGGAAAGAGAGAGAGCCAGGGAGCAGATAATGCTGAAGATGACAGAAATCATAATGAGAACAGTAACATTATCTTGGCAACCCAGATTATTACAACACAATATGCATTCCCCAACACCCAGTCTCAGCTTTTAGGATTGACATTAAACAAAAGTAGCAAAGGAGTAATAAGGTGATTAAAGTAATGGGGCCACAATAAAGGTATTGAGGGGTCCTTCATCCCAGTCAACAGTTCTAAGCACACACATCCCCACAACAAGCTAACTATAACTGCCAGTTCTGTACACATAGGGATTTACTAAGAGATTCCCCTTGTCCTCCCACCCACCCCTCACAGAACCCACACCACCACTTTTAACTTTCAGACCACAGCTGAGAACCTTAACTTCACAAATGCCTTCTCCTTAGCACCTGGACTACATTCCACTAGGGTCAGAGGCAACCCAAAGCCCCTCCTCCACCCCGCCTGCCCAGATGACTGCCCCTCACCCCTCTCCTTTACAGCCTGGGGGTCCCTTTTGGGGCTGGGGTCTAGCAGCTCCTGCAGCCTGGGGCCAGGGCTTCGCTCAGTCTCCATTGGCTCCAGCTTGAAGCTCGGTGACTCTGCTGCTGTTTCCAGTGGCAAAGGCTCCTCCAAAAGCACTTCTGCTCCCCGCCCTTGGTTTGTGACCTGGGAACCAACCCACATCACTCATCATCACAATGGGGCTGACAGATACGCAAATCAGTACAGGACTCTAGGACGAGCCTTCAACAGAGAACCACAGACCATCCCTTTGGTCTTGGCCAAGAGGCTGGTTAATGCTAAAGGCTCAGACTGCGTGTGACAGAGAAAACGGGAGGGATAGGAGCAAGAAAAAGTGAGGGTCCACTGCCAGAGCACACCACAATATACTCTTCTGATACCCTTCACTTCTGCTCAATTGCTCTTGCTTTCTCTCTCTCTTCCTAGATATTTCAATTTTCCTCTACTAGATAAGGTGAACTTATCAAGCAGTAGCTACAAAGCCTCAGTGCTTAGCTCGTTTTCAAAGTTCAATTAACAGAGATCTAACTCTGCATCGGAGACTGCCGACTAAGATGTACTGGGTACTAACCACTAAGTATAAGCCTGGGGCGATGGCATATGCCTGAGGTATCCCAGAACTAGGGAGCTTGAAGCAGGAGGGTTGCCTCGAGTTTAAGCTTGGGTGGGTTGCATAGCTAGAATCTGCTTTTAAAACAGAAAAGAGGAGAGTCAAGTGCAATGGCGCACGCCTGTAATCGTAGGACTCCGAATCTGGGAAACAGAGGCTGGAGGATAACCACTGATCTGGAGCCAAACTGAGCTATACAGTGAGTCACAGTCAGCTGGGGCTACATAAGGCCCTGTCACAAAACAAACAAAAAGCTCTCAAAGAGTGACAGTAGTGTCATCCAAACGTGACATACTGTTCTCCTGACCCCTGAAATTGTCCCCAGACAGTACTTTTGCATCTTCATTTTACCAACAGAAAAATAGGGCAAAAGAAATTAGTCTGCCCAAAGTCACAAAGCTAGTACTAACAACAGGACTAGCTACTGGTGGAACGACGCCCACAAGTTGAAATAAAGTCCTCATCATTGCCCACTACCGTTATATGGGGACAATCTGGAAGGAAAATGTTCCAGATAAACCACACACACACACACACAAAAAACCCTCTTCCTCATGTAAAGTCTACTCAGGAGAATCAAGTATATTCGACTACAAAACTAGGTTAGCAAAATGTCCTAGTCTTCTGGGCCAAACCACAATAAAACAGCTCTTTCTGTCACCTGTTGCCTCAGTTTCCCAAGTTCTCTCTGCATGCGCTCCACAAGGGTTACTGCTTCTTCACCGCTCTCTGGGCGCAGCTCCTGCACCCTGCTCTGAATCTCTTGGGGAAGAATAGTCAAGAACTGCTCCAGCACCAATAGCTCCAGTATCTGCTCCTTGGTGTGCATCTCCGGCCGCAGCCACCCGTGGCAAAGCTCCTGAAGCTGGCTAAGGGCCTCTCGGGGTCCAGCGGCCTCTTGAAAGCGGAACCGTCGAAAACGCAGGTGGGAGGCCTCTGGGCTGGGCTCTGGGTCCGGCGGAGAAACCTCCTGGCTCCAGGTGCAGTCCTCCTCCAGCTTCACTATCAGGAGCCCTTCCGGCTCCTGGGAGCCCGGACCAGCAGCCATGGTCATGCCCCCAGAGTGCCTAGGTCCCGAAACCAGCCACGTCCGCCTCGAAAGACGCCCTAGGTTGCGTGCAACAGTAGAGCACGACTGCAGTAGCCGAAAGGCCCCGGGCTCCAAATCCCGCCGGAAGACCCCAGTTCGAAATCTTGGCAATGATGGCTCTGCAGCGTCTCCACCTGACCGGCGGCTTCTCAGGCCCGCACAGAACTTAGCCCTTAGCGCCCGTGGCGGAAGTCTCAGCGCGCGAGTTATGCGTCATAAACCAACGGCCGCTAGTCCAGACGGACTTCCGATTCACGTCTTGCTTACTCGGTCTCCCATTGGGTCGGGTCTCGCCACGTACTCACTGCCGGTCAACGACAAGGGAAAATTTGCATAAAAGAGCGGGAGGAGAAATCGTCCGCTAGTTGATGAGAGGCGGGGCTACAGGGTGGGCGTGGCAGAGGTGGAAAGCCGTGAGTGGTGGTCCCTGGCCGGGTCAGGTTTTCTTAGATCTACCAAAAGCTAAGTTCCTGAGCTACGCTCGAACCAGAATCCAGCTGCGTTAGTGTCATGTTGGGGCCCAGAAATGTCCGTTGTTCACAGCTCCATAAAGAAAACCTTCCTGAAGGCCGATCCCAACCCGGGAGAAAGCAGCAGTGGCAGGTGCCCTGCGTTTACAGGGCTCGAGCTGCGCGGTGACTGCTGGGAAATGTAGTTCTTGGCACGCCCTTGTTCCTGCGCCTGCCCGCGGTGTGGATCCAAGCATTCCAAAGCAGGTTGAGTTCCAGCTACCACAGTAAACTGTATTTAGGTCCCTTTGCGCGGTGGTCCCTAGTCCTCCAACTTTAGGCCTGCTGGTCGACCTAGAAGAACGCGCCGGGTATGACTTGTTCTCTTACTACTCTGCCAGAGCAGGTCTATGGCGGAGCTCTGCGAGAGCAAGATAGTCGGTTGTGACTGTCATCCTGAGGGAAACACCAGGGTCCCCCTTCTCTTTTGAAGAGAGAACTGCCCAGGCCTGAGACCGGAGCGTGTCAGTGACAGCTCCTGGAGTTCGCAGATCCTAGGTGTGTGTGGCGAAAACCAGTAATCCTTTATTAAACACATGTTTACATAAAATAAGACCTTCACAATATTGTATTAAGTAGGCTTTATTATAAGCCCTGTGATTGTGGCAGCGAGTGTCAGTTAATAAGTCTTTGCCCAAGATCACACAGCTATTCTATTTAGACTGTGGAAATAAAAGTCGTCTGTTTTGGATGACTGAGGGTAGAGTCCTGAGTATTTCCTCATTTCATCACAGGTACAAAGGTCCACAGGCTGCCATGACACATGCGTGTCCAGACGCAGATGGGCAGGTATAGGTTCATTCAGAAAAATCTTGTTAAAGCTTGTGAGGTTGAGCTAGAGCGATGGCTCAGCAGTTAACCTGCCCTCCTGAGGGACCTGGGTTCTATTCCCAGCAATCACATGGTGGCTCACAGCCTTCTACAGGGGATCTGACACCCTCTTCTGGCCTCCAAAGGCACTGGTGCATATATATATATATATATATATATATATATATATATATATATATATATATATATCAGTTGCAGCCCAAACTCAAAGGTTGATGACCTAAAAGCTTCAGACAGGAAAGTTGACTTGGCTGATAACACCCCACCTGTGGGATGTTAGGATCCAGAGAGCTTCTGTTAAGATCAACTATCAGCCTCCTTTGATATTTACTGTGAGCCCCTTCATGAATGGACAGGCCCCTCCCCTGAGGACCTCCAACTGCCCACATAACACGCTGAACTGCCCTAACGGCTGTACCCTGCCCCCACCCTACTGGGTTAAAAGCTCCAGCTCTGGACTTGAAATCCCACCAATCCCCGCCCTGAAAAGTTCCACTCCCTCCCCCCAAGAAATTAAGCCCTGTCCTCTGCCCAGGTCTCTGCTGCTTGTCACCTGAGCAGAGGCAGCCACCCTCCTGGCTTTTTTCCTCTCCCAATAAATCTCCTGTGTGAGGTTTGTTGTGTGGTGTGACTTTGTGGTATTCCTTGGCTCCCAACTGCCAGGATGCCTTTCTGTCTAAGCTGTAACCCTTACATTTGGTTAGGCTCTCCTTGTGCCTGCCTTTCCCTCAGAGGCCTAAGCTGCACGGGGACTCTCTTCCTCCCTCATCTTTAGTCCACCCGCAACAGACTCACCACTCGCTTAGCATCCCGTCCACTAGCAGCCATTAGGTAAGTTTCCCCTTTGATGGGCGTAAATGTTTCTCTGAGTCTGAGGAAGTGACCACTGAGTAGCCAGCAGCCCTCTGGTACTCTTTGAGGCAGAGGTACCCCCAGCCATAGTCTTTAATGCTAAAGCTGACCCTGTTCACCTGACCCCAATCCCCACACCTTGGAACTGCAATCCTTAGAACTGTTTCCAACCGGGCTATTACACCCCTTCCTGCCCTCTTCTCCCATCTTCTGTTTGGAGCTGCCCATAATCCCACAGCTCCTTTAGGCCCTCGTAGCTTCTGAGACTCCATTCCTGACCCTTTCCTGTGGGTAAGACCCTCTCTTAGAGATTCGTTTTTGTCCTCTGGCCCCTATAAAAGCCCTGGTACCAGGCATTGAGTCTCTCCTCTGGCTTAGCCAGGCTATGCCCCTGACCCCTACCCCCCCATGAGTGTAGACCCACAAATCAGCTTGATACTCTTTTTGTTCTGAGTCCTGGGGACAGCCACAACTACAGGCTGCAGTGACTTTTTCCTCCTCTTTCATCCATGGGAACGTGTCTTCCATACCCTCTCATTCCCTCTTGGGATGACTCTTAGCAAACTTAGCCTCCAGACCTGGCACCTGACCTGAAGGGACCCTACATTTATTTATTTTTTGGAATCAAACCTGACTTCAGTACCCCTTAGATGATCAATCCAAAGGGCCACCTAATGGCACCCTAGATCTCAATATTATTTGGGACCTTTACAAATGCTGCAAGTGATCGGGGAAATAGAAAGATTCCTCATTCCCTATTTCTCTTTTCTCCTCCATTACAAGCTCTGTTTGTTTTTGTCTGGTCTCCCCCAATCCCCCACCCACTGTGTAAATGTCTGTTTTTTTTTAATTTACTAAAGATGGATCTCTAAGTCTGTTGCATAGTTGGAACCTGGAGCCAGACTGAGCAGGAGGGGGAGAAAGCAAAGGATTAGGCCAGCTGCAACACACACGGACTCTTCATTGGCTGATTCGTCTCTCAGCTCCCTCCTGCAGGATCCTCTGTCTATAATCAGGACTGGAAATTTTCCTATCTCTAAGTCTTCTTTTTCTCAGCTTACTAGATTCCATTTTACATGGATTCAGGTTTCTTTTAGGTATGAGTGGCATTAGACCATTGTTTTATGCTATTCCACTTCATTTAAAATCTGGCTCTGGAGTGGTGGTATGGCTCCTTCTCCTCTAGACCCAAGCATGTTTGTTTAAAGGTTTCTTCCAAAATATTTGTCCCATATTAGGTGAGCCACCTAAAGGAGAGCAAGGCAAAAAAAAAAAAAAAAAAAACCAAAAAAACCAAAAACAAAAAAGTAGGCGGGGACGACTATTCCAGTGGGGACAATTGCTTCTCATACATACTCTTTTGGTTTCGGTTGAACACCCCAAAACTTTTTGCTAAAGTATAAATCTTACCTCAAGATTTATAAGACAATTGTGTACATTGAGATTTGTAAGCATATTGGGTATGTGTGATACCTGACTATATCCAGAATGAATTGTAATCCAGATATAGAGGACACACTTGTGATTTAGACATTGAGGCAAGAAGACAATAGACCTTTTACCCAGATCTTGAGGCTGGATGACACATGCCTTTAATCCAGAACTTGAGGCTGGAAGACACACCTCTAATATGGGTCATACCTTCTTCTGAAAGGACAACGGAAGAAGGAAGGTTGTGCTCTTTGCCTGCTTGTCCTCATCTTGCTAGCACATCCATTCCTTCACTGGCATTGGAGCCTACTTCTGTGGGATTCCAGCATATACAGAAGACCAGCTGAGATATTTGGCCGCTGTGGAATATTATTTTAACTGGGCAAAAATGTGTTAAATTTGATTATGCTGCAGAATATTACTTTAACTGTGTAAAGGGGTGTGTTGTCTTTGTTTATGCTGCATTTGTTCAATTATGTAAATATGTGTTGCTTTTGCTTCACCTTGCCTACCTAAGATACCTGATTGGTCTAATAAAAAGCTGAATGACCAATAGCTAGGCAAAGAGAATAAGTAGGTGCAGGTGCAGCCACTTTGCCCCAAATGAACACACAAAGACTTATATTAATTATAAACTGTTTGGCTGATAGCTCAGGCTTCTTACTGACTAGCTCTGTCTTTATTATTAACCCATAACTATTAATCTATGCATTTCTACATGACCTTATCTTACTAGAGAACTCCCGGCATATCCTATCTTCCCCGTAGCTACATGGTGTCTCCCTGCCACTCCTCTCTGCATCCTCTCCCCAGAATTCTCGTCTGGTAGCCCCATCTAAACTTCCTGCCTGGCTACTGACCAATCAGTGGTTTATTCATCAACCAATAAGAGAAACATATATACAGAAGAACATCCCCCATCACTCAGAAGGAAGAATGAGGAAGAAGAGAGAAACCAGGCAGCCATCAGCCAACAAACACAGAGTAAAATACATAGAAGGAGCCGGGCGGTGGTGGCTCACACCTTTAATCCCAGCACTCGAGAGGCAGAGGCAGGCAGATCTCGAGACCAGCCTGGTCTACAAGAGCTATTTCCAGGACAGCATCCAAAGCCACAGAGAAACCCTGTCTTGTAAAACATACATACATACATACATACATACATACATACATCCCTGAGACAAAATGTAGATAAAGAGAAACAGGTTAATTTAAATTAAAAGAGCTATCCAGAAATGAGCCTAAGCTAGGCCAAGCATTCAAAACTATAGTAAGTGTGTCATAATTTGGGAGCTTGTTAGTGGATGCCACACTTCCATGCCCACATCTCAACATTTCAAACCAACTCAAGTTGCTGATTGGACGCTCTTAAGATGTGTATGGATCATTTTCTTCTGTTGGCTCTGACAACTACCATATTTGATTCCTAATTCGAGAGTCCACCTCTTCAGCCTCTTCTTCCCTTCACCTGATCTGCCCATCCATCCCTCCTCCCGTTTGGTAAGTGTCCTTCCTCTCTCTGCCTCCTGGATCCCACTACACCCTCTGGTGCCCCACCTGTGGGCAACTCTCTAGTTACTAAGACGTTTACTCCTCTTCCTTTGTTGGAACCTTCCCTGTTTCCTTGCCTTCTCCACCTAGGAGCTGCCTGCTAAGTCCCACAGCTTCCTTAAGCTCTTCCCAGCCTCTGTGACATTCTCCCTTCTGTCTCCCAGCTCCATCCTGGAAATGTCACTTCTCCAGCATCTCCAATGGGTGACTCAGACCATCCTCACCCTCCAGGGCCAAACAGACTTGCTGGCCACCATAATGCTACAAAATCAGTGAGGATTAGATTTACCAATAGCAGAGAGAGAGGTTTGTCTCTTCCTTGGGGAGGAATGCTGCTTCTGTGTTAACCAAAACAGTTATAGTGAAAGACAAAATCTAACAACTCTAGACAGATCTTCAAAAATGTAAGAAAAAATTGGATGCCTCTGGCCAATGGCTCATGGACAGTTCAATAT